TAGCGTTACATAAATGTAGGGCTGTATGTAGCTTTACACCAATGTAGTGAACGTGTCACTCTCCTCCATGATGTGTTTTGTCGAGCTATCCCATCAACTAACACAATTACCAAGAAAACCAAACCTTTTTAATTACGTTGACAAAATAAACGAATGCATGGTCACGTTTTGTGTGTAATCTATGCAGCTGTTATGTAACTTGTTGGTGATGTTGTGTGGTGAGATGGTCTGTTGTCTGGTTTTATTATGTGTCTCGTCTGCTCTTTGTTTAGTCTGTTTTCTACTTCGTGTGTTGTGTGGTATTGTGTCTGTTGTCTGTATGGTGGTGTGTCTGTGCCACTGTTGTTGTGTGTGCTGCGAACCAAATACGAGCTGCGTGTCCCATAACTGTGCTCGCTCCTGCCGGCGTCCTTGTGTTAAGTGTTTGAACACACTCGAGAAACATCGTGATGTGCACATCCTTCAACTCACTCGAGCAACATCGTGATGTGCACATCCTTCAACTCACTCGAGCAACATCGTGATGTGCACATCCTTCAACTCACTCGAGCAACATCGTGATGTGCCCATCCTTCAACTCACTCGAGCAACATCGTGATGTGTACATCCTTCAACTCGAGAAACATCATGATGTACACATCCTTCAACTCACACGAGCAACATCGTGATGTGCACATCCTTCAACTCGAGAAACATCATGATGTGCACATCCTTTAACTCACACGAGCAACATCGTGATGTGCACATCTAGCTTGGTAGTGGTGGAGTGACCTATGAAGGTGTATGGGGGAGGAAAGACAAAAGCCACGTGTGTTCTGTGTATTTAGCTGACGTGTTACTAAGAATCGATACCCTAGTCTTTTGCGTTTGGTGACGTGTTACTAAGAATCGATACCCTAGTCTATTGCGTTTGGTGACGTGTTACTAAGAATCGATACCCTAGTCTATTGCGTTTGGTGACGTGTTACTAAGAATCGATACCCTAGTCTATTGCGTTTGGTGACGTGTTACTAAGAATCGATACCCTAGTCTATTGCGTTTGGTGACGTGTTACTTAGAATCGATACGCTAGTCTATTGCGTTTGGTGACGTGTTACTTAGAATCGATACCCTAGTCTATTGCGTTTGGTGACGTGTTACTTAGAATCGATACGCTAGTCTATTGCGTTTGGTGACGTGTTACTTAGAATCGATACCCTAGTCTATTGCGTTTGGTGACGAGTTGGACATGATCGATGCTGTGATCTACTTTATCTGATCCCCTCTTGATTGAATGAATGAGAGCACTCGTTGTGTCTGTTATCTCGTGTCCTGACATCCGCTCGTGGCATCGTCACATCCGGTTATGGCACTTGTTTCCACTTCCTTGTTCGTCTCTCTTCATTATACGGGGTTCTCTTGCTAGTGTGGTGTGTGTGTGGTGGAGGGTGCTCGTGTGGTGTGTGTGTGTGGTGGAGGGTGCTCGTGTGGTGTGTGTGTGTGGTGGAGGGTGCTTGTGTTGTGTGTGTGTGTGTGTGTGGGCGTGGTGGAGGGTGGTTGTGTTGTGTGTGTGTGGTGGAGGGTGCTTGTGTTGTGTGTGTGTGTGGGAGTAGTGCTGACTAGTTGTTCCAAAAGTTCGAGCTGTTAAAACGAAACTGACATTTGCTTACAACGACTTCCGGATGATTACAAAAGGTCAGGCTGACCTACAGGCTCTAGCATAGCTGGTGATCTACGTGTGTTTTGGTTAACTTTATCAAATGTGCAGGTCTCTCCCTCACCTCCCTTTCACTGAGACCTTTAGAGTGACTGCGTGTTGGGAAACTTTGACCTTTAGTTCACCCCCCCCCCCCCCCCACACACACCTTCTGGTGCTGTCTGCAGCACACGATGCTCATCACAAGGACAACCCCAGCTAAACAACCCTTCTAGTGTAGCATCAGATGACAACCCCAGCTAAACAACCCTTCTAGTGTAGCATCAGAGGACAACCCCAGCTAAACAACCCTTCTAGTGTAGCATCAAAGGACAACCCCAGCTAAACAACCCTTCTAGTGTAGCATCAAAGGACAACCCCAGCTAAACAACCCTTCTAGTGTAGCATCAAAGGACAACCCCAGCTAAACAACCCTTCTAGTGTAGCATCAAAGGACAACCCCAGCTAAACAACCCTTCTAGTGTAGCATCAAAGGACAACCCCAGCTAAACAACCCTTCTAGTGTAGCATCAAAGGACAACCCCAGCTAAACAACCCTTCTAGTGTAGCATCAAAGGACAACCCCAGCTAAACAACCCATGTAGCATCAAAGGACAACCCCAGCTAAACAACCCTTCTAGTGTAGCATCAGATGACAACCCCAGCTAAACAACCCTTCTAGTGTAGCATCAAAGGACAACCCCAGCTAAACAACCCTTCTAGTGTAGCATCAAAGAACAACCCCAGCTAAACAACCCTGCTAGTGTAGCATCAAAGGACAACCCCAGCTAAACAACCCTTCTAGTGTAGCATCAGATGACAACCCCAGCTAAACAACCCTTCTAGTGTAGCATCAGATGACAACCCCAGCTAAACAACCCTTCTAGTGTAGCATCAGAGGACAACCCCAGCTAAACAACCCTGCTAGTGTAGCATCAGAGGACAACCCCAGCTAAACAACCCCTGTAGTGTAGCATCTGAGTACAACCCCAACTAAACAGTCCTGCTAGTATCCGGCCGTATGTGAACATATTGTGCCACTCTAGATGTGCTACATACCGGCTCTAGATGTGCTACATACCGGCCGTATGTGAACATATTGTGTCGCTCTAGATGTGCCACATACCGGCCGTATGTGAACATATTGTGCCACTCTAGATGTGCCACATACCGGCCGTATGTGAACATATTGTGCCACATACCGGCCGTATGTGAACATATTGTGCCACTCTAGATGTGCTACATACCGACCGTATGTGAACATATTGTGCCACATACCGGCCGTATGTGAACATATTGAGTCGCTCTAGATGTGCTACATACCGGCCGTATGTGAACATATTGTGTCGCTCTAGATGTGCTACATACCGGCCGTATGTGAACATATTGTGTCGCTCTAGATGTGCTACATACCGGCCGTATGTGAACATATTGTGTCGCTCTAGATGTGCTACATACCGGCAGAATGTGAACATATTGTGTCGCTCTAGATGTGCTACATACCGGCCGTATGTGAACATATTGTGTCGCTCTAGATGTGCTACATACCGGCCGTATGTGAACATATTGTGCCACTCTAGATGTGCTACATACCGGCCGTATGTGAACATATTGAGTCGCTCTAGATGTGCCACATACCGGCCGTATGTGAACATATTGTGCCGCTCAAGATGTGCTACATACCGGCCGTATGTGAACATATTGTGTCGCTCTAGATGTGCCACATACCGGCCGTATGTGAACATATTGTGCCGCTCTAGATGTGCTACATACCGGCCGTATGTGAACATATTGTGTCGCTCTAGATGTGCTACATACCGGCCGTATGTGAACATATTGTGCCGCTCTAGATGTGCCACATACCGGCCGTATGTGAACATATTGTGTCGCTCTAGATGTGCTACATACCGGCCGTATGTTAACATATTGTGCCACTCTAGATGTGCCACATACCGGCCGTATGTGAACATATTGTGCCACTCTAGATGTGTCACATACCGGCCGTATGTGAACATATTGTGCCGCTCTAGATGTGCCACATACCGGCCGTATGTGAACATATTGTGTCACTCTAGATGTGCCACATACCGGCCGTATGTGAACATATTGTGCCGCTCTAGATGTGCCACATACCGGCCGTATGTGAACATATTGTGTCACTCTAGATGTGCCACATACCGGCCGTATGTGAACATATTGTGCCACATACCGGCCGTATGTGAACATATTGTGCCACATACCGGCCGTATGTGAACATATTGTGCCGCTCTAGATGTGCCACATACCGGCCGTATGTGAACATATTGTGTCACTCTAGATGTGCTACATACCGGCCGTATGTGAACATATTGTGCCGCTCTAGATGTGCCACATACCGGCCGTATGTGAACATATTGTGTCGCTCTAGATGTGCCACATACCGGCTCTAGATGTGCCACATACCGGCTCTAGATGTGCCACATACCGGCTCTAGATGTGCCACATACCGGCTCTAGATGTGCCACATACCGGCCGTATGTGAACATATTGTGCCGCTCTAGATGTGCCACATACCGGCCGTATGTGAACATATTGTGCCGCTCTAGATGTGCCACATACCGGCCGTATGTGAACATATTGTGTCGCTCTAGATGTGCCACATACCGGCCGTATGTGAACATATTGTGTCGCTCTAGATGTGCCACATACCGGCTCTAGATGTGCCACATACCGGCTCTAGATGTGCCACATACCGTCTCTAGATGTGCCACATACCGGCTCTAGATGTGCCACATACCGGCCGTATGTGAACATATTGTGTCGCTCTAGATGTGCCACATACCGGCCGTATGTGAACATATTGTGTCGCTCTAGATGTGCCACATACCGGCTCTAGATGTGCCACATACCGGCTCTAGATGTGCCACATACCGTCTCTAGATGTGCCACATACCGGCTCTAGATGTGCCACATACCGGCCGTATGTGAACATATTGTGCCGCTCTAGATGTGCCACATACCGGCCGTATGTGAACATATTGTGCCGCTCTAGATGTGCCACATACCTGTCGTATGTGAACATATTGTGCCGCTCTAGATGTGCCACATACCGGCCGTATGTGAACATATTGTGTGGCTGTCGGGTCGCTTTAAACTGCCGGCATCCAGCGACACGCTGACGTCTTGATGTGATAAGGTCGCTTTTACTTAACACAACACTTAAGAAATGTGTTGTCGTGCTTCTGTGTGTGGATTTAAACACTGAGACAATATGTCGTGTTTCTGTGGTGTGTGGAGTTAAACACCGAGACAATATGTCGTGTTTCTGTGGTGTGTGTAGGACTCAAAAAGATTGTAGACGCTCTGTGAAATGTGGTTTTACATTGAACAAGTACAAACTGTAAACCTGTGAAATGTGGTTTTATGTTGCCGACGGCTCGAGACACATGGTGATGGTGAGGATACGTGTGTTTGTGTACATGTCGTGTGTTTGTGTACATGTTTGTGTACATGTCGTGTGTTTGTGTACATGTCGTGTGTTTGTGTACATGTGTGTTTGTGTACATGTTTGTGTACATGTCGTGTGTTTGTGTACATGTCGTGTGTTTGTGTACATGTCGTGTGTTTGTGTACATGTCGTGTGTTTGTGTACATGTCGTGTGTTTGTGTACATGTCGTGTGTTTGTGTACGTGTCGTGTGTTTGTGTACGTGTCGTGTGTTTGTGTACATGGCGTGTGTTTGTGTACATGTCGTGTGTTTTTTGTAAACATTTGTTTGTGTTCATGTCATTTTTGTTACATCCCATTATCTGTGTAGATTGTAAATGGTGTGCTCACATACTGTTTGTGTACATGCCAGTGTTTGGTCTACTATTATATCCCAGCATGTTACCCGGGCTATTGAGCGCATCTGACGTTTTTTGTACAGGTGGTTGAAACGCTGAGTAGGCTAATTTTTGTGGTGTTGTGTCGTCTGGTTGTGGGGGTCGTGGTTTTCTCTTAGTTGACCCACTCCTTTTGGTGTCGCTAGGTTGTGATTGACCTAGGTAAAACAAGGTGTGTTGTATTGGGGGGACAGTGTAGAGAGGAATCTGTTGTCTCAACACACCAGCAACACGCGAGAGCGGGGTCAACAAGATGGCGGAATTCTCTGGCCTAGATTCGTCTGTTTGTGTGTGTGTGTGCTAGATCTGTGTATCTGCTGGATTTGTGTATGTGTACTAGATATGTGTGTGGTTTGTGTTCGCTGAGCGTGTGTGTGCTAGATGTGTTTGTGTTGGTAACGGTGGTATAACGTGTTTATAAAATAGTGTTTTCATTGACGGTTGTATAAAGTGGATATAATATAGTGTTTAGAATGACGTAGTAAAGTGTTACTCTGATAAGGTATCTATGTTAATAACAGTACAGCGAGCCAGGGAGAAAAGTGCAACTTGTCTGTGTACATCAACTGCATACAAGCACAGACTACGTCCCTTTGACACCATTGTTGGCATCGCTAGTAGTTATTTACGATGGGGAGGGGGGGGGGGGCACACAGCGTAATTCTTGGAAAAATCTTTCTCCGTGTGGCTGGTGTTGTGTTGCTAGATCTGTGTTGTGTTGAGTTCATGGAATTTTTTCCTAGATGTACTTGCAGGGACATGCTGTAGTTAGCCGTGATTGTTGTGTAGTCACTCACAAGCCGTGATTGCAGATATCATTCACTAAGACGGCTACCTAGCTATATAAAATATAGACTCTATTGTCATCATGCCTGCGTCAGCTCGGCTCTAACTTAACCACTCACGTTTATTTATAGCCGCCACGTGGTCTGTCACGTTTATTTATAGCCGCGACGTGACCTGGCGTCAAGCGAGAAGACAACGTGAATGTTTACAAAACTGTGTGTGTTTGGTATTTTATTGGTTTATTTGTTCTCACACACTTTGTGAAGGTATGTGTGGCTTACCTTGAGTTGCTCATGAAATCACCATCGGGTTTTCCCGTCTGAGTAGAGTGCTACAAACACCTTGTCAGTGCCTATTATAATATGTGCTGGCATCTTCTCTCTGCTAGTTTCTAGAGCTGCCAGAGCCAATTTCGTCATGCATTTGGTTCATATTTTCTCATCTACTGTCTTTGGTATTGGTGTTCTATGTGACGAGGTAATTATGTATGTGTGGAGGTTATGTTTTATATGGTGAGGTAATTATGTCGTTTGTATGAGTGGAGGTTATATGTTTTATATGGTGAGGTAATGGTGCTACGTACAGCGAGACCATTATGTGTTATTTATGGTGAGATCATTATGTGGTGAGATCATTATGTGTTATATATGGTGAGATAACTGTTATCTCTGGTAAGGTAAATGGTTGTATGCGGTGAGTTCATTAGGTATGAGTGTTCCGTGTGGAGAGATAAATGAGCATACAAGTAGAGGAGACAAGAATGTTCAGATATTTGACTGAACATACTTGCCTCCTCCACTTGTTCAGTAAAATATCTGGTGGGTTAATTCATTGGTCATACACATGGTAATCAGCTTTAGCTAACGTGATAAAGGGGATTCCCGAAACGACAGCACTTTTCTTGTGATATGCCTGCATAATCCGGCTATTTTTAGATGACAGCACGTGTAAATATGACTAGAGAAGCACACGTGAGCTTATGAATGTGTGCGCGTGTCGTACCCCACCTGTTGTTTCTACGTTGCCGGTGCTTTTCCGTCGTGAGTACTGTATCACGTGTCTGTGTACACTCATCATCTGCTGCAGTAACTCACCAAACAGCTGGTCGTATGTCTCTCGCTTGTGTCAGCCATCAACGGGGAAATAGACTTTTCTTAGAAACCTTTTTCTTCTTACTAAATCTTATCTGTTGGATTTCTGGAATTTCCGATTTCTAAAAATACACCTGCCGCGTGCTTGATGGGTATGACGTAACGTGTTGGACTGGCAGAATTTTTCTTAGAAACCGGTTCACATTTTGGCTTAGGGAGGTCAAGCATTATTGAAGGATTCAGTTTTTGTTTTTTTGTTATGAAAATAACTTAGTATCACGTGACTGCATGCCGTGAACATTGAGAGTGTATTGTTAGCTGGGACAGGTTGAACTGTAAGCTTTGGGCCGGCAGGTAAGGGAAACAACTGGTTGAAGAATGTGCTGAGTACCATTTACCTGGCAACAATGGGCGCTATGTGTGGAATGTGCTTCACACACCGGCCAGCAGGGGGCCACTTGTGTCAGCTCATCAATGGCATGTCAGTCATGCTGGTACACTTCATTAGCTCAAGTTTTTCTTTTCAATGGGTCAGTGGTTGACCCTACTGGGCTATACCTGTCAGTGGTTGACCCTACTGGGCTATACCTGTCAGTGGTTGACCCTACTGGGCTATACCTGTCAGTGGTTGACCCTACTGGGCTATACCTGTCAGTGGTTGACCCTACTGGGCTATACCTGTCAGTGGTTGACCCTACTGGGCTATACCTGTCAGTGGTTGACCCTACTGGGCTATACCTGTCAGTGGTTGACCCTACTGGGCTATACCTGTCAGTGGTTGTCCCTCCTACCTGTCAGTGGTTGGCCCTGCTGAGCTATACCTGTCAGTGGTTGACCCTACTGGGCTATACCTGTCAGTGGTTGGCCCTACTGGGCTATACCTGTCAGTGGTTGGCCCTACTGGGCTATACCTGTCAGTGGTTAACCCTCCTACCTGTCAGTGGTTGGCCCTACTCAGTCAGTCATTGTGACTGTCATGAGATGAGCTAATGATGACATAGGTCATGATGACATAGCTAATGATGACAGATTTTATGTCAATTTTAGATCCCACACAAAGTGTGGGGAGAAACATTTTCCAACTGATGTCCATGTCATGTGGGGCAACTTGTGGAGGGGGTGTGTGGGTCAGATATTTGATATCTTGATCCCATGGGCTTAAAGTCAAGTCATCTTATATTGGTCAGACACCTGAGGTCTTGTGGGGGTCACAAAATCCTTTCCTTACCCTCCCCCCCCCCCCCCCCTCGTTTGAGTATCTACACATATTTTGTATTTTTCTTGAACCTTGCATCACTTCAACTCAGTATAAACAGGTTCCCTACGCCAGTCCAGGAACAATATGATCTGTTTATCTGACGACCCACCAGGCTATTTATAGTTTGAGTGTCACCATTCCTATCTCTCTAGTCATGGCCAGCCCATTTGTTTTTGTCTGTGCTAGTCTAGCGTGTATTCAACTGTAAACACCATCTTTGTTATCAGACTGATTTTGATCTGCTTGCTGGTATAGCTAGGGTCTAATCTTTGTTTATCTTTTGAATCTTTCAGGCAGGGGACAGGATGGCTGACTCACTACAGGTGCCAGATTTTAAAAGATCTAACCCAGCAGCACAGGTCAGTGCTCTACCCTACTCTATTCACAGACACTCTTCACCAGCCATCATCCACTACCACTATCCACATCAACCACACACTACCACCATCCATGTCCACTATCCACATCAACCATACACTACCACCATCCATAACCACCAACCACATCAACCATACACTACCACCATCCATGTCCACTATCCACATCAACCATACACTACCACCATCCACTATCCACATCAACCACACACTACCACCATCCATGTCCACTATCCACATCAACCACACACTACCACCATCCATGTCCACTATCCACATCAACCACCCACTACCACCTTCCACATCCACTATCCACATCAACCATACACTACCACCATACATGTCCACTATCCACATCAACCACCCACTACCACCTTCCACTATCCACATCAACCATACACTACCACCATCCATAACCACCAACCACATCAAATGAGTATTCTACTAGTTCCTGTGCTACCAGCCACAAGTGCTAGAATCTGTTGCCTTGTTTCAGTTGCCATCTCTCCCCCTGCTGATTGGAGAGTTCCCCCTCCTGGTTTCTAAGACATCAGATGGCAACGCCATGGTCACCAACTTCCGCTTCTGTGTGTGTGAAAGGCGCTCGTTCATCAACGTCCCCGTCATGATGGTGTCAGAGGTGTTTGTCATTGAGGCTGCTAAACGCCTGAGGATAGGCTGTAAGGATGGCTCCACCTACAGGTCAGAAAACACTTCTCACATCAACCTGCGGCGGCCTCAGTTGGCCATAAAAGATTAGTATTATTAACTGAACCATTTGAGCCCTTAGCTTCTGAGCCTAAAATCCCCATGCCCCTTAGCTCCTGGGTTAAATGTACACACAACACACTCTCAATAAAAAATAAAGACTATGAATATAACAACAAGATTAATTTCATTATTTATATCAATTAACATTTGTACATGAATTATCGCCAGTAGTTTGACTTAGTGTATGTAGACCCTTCTTTTAGACATAGGTAGGTGTAGACATAGGTAGGATGCCGCTTTTGGAATTTTATAATTTTAAAATTTTATGTACGGACTGCCAATCTGTTTAGCTAATCAGATGAGTCTGACCGTGGCTATTCTGACCATTGTTTTTGCCCCCCCAGCTGTGTATTTGCCAGCTCTGAAGACTGCAGTGAATGCACCTCACTGCTGCGAGAGAGGTCAGGTCTCCCCTCCAGTACCAAGACCCTGTTTGCCTACAGGTTCTACAGCCAGGCCTGCCTCAGGGAGGGATCAAAGGTCAAGCTGACCCCTGAGGAAGAGGAGCAGGTAGCACTGTGTCGACCTAGTAAGTAGGTTTGATGTAGTACAGTTGTAGCCACATACTAAGTGGGAGATGGCTAAGTCAGGTTATGAAATTGAGCACTCTATTATGAGGGGCTCTTTGTCAGTGCTCTAAAATAACCATCAGTGATTGACCACATAAGCTCCATGTTCAAGGTGAGCAAGCACAATGACTGATCTACTTGAGATGTCAGTTCAGTTTTTTGTCTCTGGAATTTAAATCTCACCATGATCTCTAGTAGCTTGACATACTGGTCAAGCACAGACCCACACAGTGTGTTCATTACATCCCATGTGTAGTGTGTTCATTACATCCCATGTGTTGTGTAGTGTGTTCATTACATTCCATGTGTTGTGTAGTGTGTTCATTACATCCCATGTGTGGTGTGTTCATTACATGCCATGTGTTGTGTAGTGTGTTCATTACATCCCATGTGTTGTGTAGTGTGTTCATTACATCCCATGTGTTGTGTAGTGTGTTCATTACATCCCATGTGTTGTGTAGTGTGTTCATTACATCCCATGTGTTGTGTAGTGTGTTCATTACATCCCATGTGTTGTGTAGTGTGTTCATTACATCCCATGTGTTGTGTGGTGTGTTCATTACATCCCATGTGTTGTGTAGTGTGTTCATTACATCCCATGTGTTGTGTGGTGTGTTCATTACATCCCATGTGTTGTGTAGTGTGTTCATTACATCCCATGTGTTGTGTGTTCATTACATCCCATGTGTTGTGTAGTGTGTTCATTACATCCCATGTGTTGTGTAGTGTGTTCATTACATCCCATGTATTGTGTGTTCATTACATCCCATGTGTTGTGTAGTGTGTTCATTACATCCCCTGTGTTGTGTAGTGTGTTCATTACATCCCATGTGTTGTGTAGTGTGTTCATTACATCCCATGTGTTGTGTAGTGTGTTCATTACATCCCATGTATTTGATATCTGTAATGTGTTTATCCCTGAAGCAGGTGAGGTGTTCACATATTCCTTTGACAAAGAAGTTGAACGTTTGGGGTTTGATACATATAGAAAAAAAATCTGGAGAATCAGCCATGCCAATGACAATTTTGAGTGAGTTACTTATATTTTATTGTTGTCTTTAAGTTCAAAACCAGTATTGTCTTTGTTACATTCGAATAGAATTATAGGAAACATGTTCTTGTTTGTGTAAGCCTATGTTAAATATTCTGTAAGAAATAGTAGCACATCTAAACTAAATGGAATATTGAAATGGGCACATAATCTGGTAAATAAATACATTCTTATGTGTGACAGTAATTGTATGTCAACAAATAATGTGTCTGCAGGTTCTGTCCCACGTACCCCAAGACCCACATCCTGCCTGCAACATACGAGGATGACAAACTCAAGTTCAGCCTTGACTTTAGAGCTATGAGAAGATTCCCATCTGTGGTGTGGAGGTCAGTGCTCTCATTATATAACTTTAACCCTTTCACTGCTCTCATTATATAACTTTAACCCTTTCACTGCTCTCATTATATAACTTTAACCCTTTCACTGCTCTCATTATATAACTTTAACCCTTTCACTGCTCTCATTATATAACTTTAACCCTTTCACTGCTCTCATTATATAACTTTAACCCTCTCAGCGCTCTCTTTATATAACTTTAACCCTCTCAGTGCTCTCTTTATATAACTTTAACCCTTTCACTGCTCTCATTATATAACTTTAACCCTTTCAGTGCTCTCATTATATAACTTTAACCCTCTCAGTGCTCTCTTTATATAACTTTAACCCTCTCAGTGCTCTCTTTATATAACTTTAACCCTTTCAGTGCTCTCACTATATAACTTTAACCCTTTCAGTGCTCTCATTATATAACTTTAACCCTCTCAGCGCTCTCTTTATATAACTTTAACCCTCTCAGTGCTCTCTTTATATAACTTTAACCCTTTCACTGCTCTCATTATATAACTTTAACCCTTTCAGTGCTCTCATTATATAACTTTAACCCTCTCAGTGCTCTCTTTATATAACTTTAACCCTCTCAGTGCTATCTTTATATAACTTTAACCCTTTCACTGCTCTCATTATATAACTTTAACCCTTTCACTGCTCTCTCATATAACTTTAACCCTTTCACTGCTCTCTTATGTAACTTTAACCCTTTCACTGCTGTCATATTTGCTGTTAAACCCTCTAACGATCATGTGCTTTTGGGAAGTTTTCAGTTAATTGTCAACTATGAAATTTATCTAATAAAACTTTATGACATGTCAGATACTTGTTTAGGCCAGTCATGAATCTATTGATATTAGTTTATCTGTCATTTGTTCTAACTTGATGCATGACTTGGTGTATATAATAAATGGTGTATGACTTAATATCTGACTTGATGATCCAACTGTTTCAGGGACAAGACAACTGGGGTTGTGCTCATCCGCAGCAGTCAGCCACTGTCCAGTTTCCTAGGTCTCAGCTACTTCCACAATCCATCAGATGTCTCACTCATAGAGGAGATTGTCAGTGCTTGCAACAAGTAAGGGCCTTGATATTTACAAATTTTCCATTTCAGCTGAAATTTTCCTATGGAATTTCATTTTCTCCTAATTTTCACGATGATTTTTTATTTTTGCCAGTTTCTTACTAAGTCTTAAAATATAGGGGGAAAAATGGGAATTGACTTTTACGGAAACAGACCACATGCCCATCCATATATTGCTATTTAAATCAAGCATTACGCTTGGCCTATAGTGTAGATATCAGGTGAAACAGACAATCAAATACGCACATTTCTTTTCAATTGGACGATTGCGTTAGGTCTGAACTCATCTTGACCCCGACCGTGTCATGTTTGTGGAAGGAAAAATATGATAACGACTATTTTAATAACAATCTACATCTATTCCAATAGCATAAATAATGATGTGGCTTGGATATTAAAATGGTTAATTTTGGCTCAAATGTTTTTACAAATATTAATTCCAAAACACTTTTTAATATAAAAATCAGACCCTTTCTACCTGCAGCTAATCTGGTCTTCATTTTCCATCACATGAACTAAAACTTTCCAATTACAGTTATCTAAATCTAGGCTATTTACTGTTGAAGACTTACATTTTTACCATGCCTGTCTTTAAAAGAATATAACTTATATTACAGGGAATAATTGGAAATAAGAGTACAGTTTAAATTAGCCAAATGTCAAAATAAAACTTCATTTAGACTTTTGTTAATTATAAAATTTAATTTTTTTAAAAAGTTGTTCATAAGGTAAATATTAATATTAAATTGCTAACAGATAGGTCTTCATTTTTATTTTAGAATTACATAAACTTCATTTATTTAAAATGTTAACGATATTATGAATTAGCTCACTATTGGCATTAGACTGCTTTAAATGCGGTAAAACAAAGACAAAACATAGTGAGTTCTTGTCAGAAAAAAAATTTCTATTTTTTTTCCTGGTCTGGTCACAACCCTGCTGTTTGTTGTAGTGGTTTATATGACTTACTAATTTTGAGCTACCCTTTAACTTGATCCATGACTTCCTGGTAATGTTATACCACATCACTAGATTCATTGTTCCCCATGTCTACACATGATGTAAACAACTGCATGTAAATAAATGCATATAATTTTTGTGACTGTTCCTGCCTGTGGGAGACCAGAGATCTGAGCCCAACTTGACCTGACATAACCCTAGCCTTGTTTGTTTATGTGACAGGGAGAGGGATGCCATTGCTGCAGAACGACATGCCCAGGTCAGACATGCCACCAAGGCAGTGCAGGAGAGGGGAGACAACTGTAACTCTAACTCTGCTGAAGAAGATGGCGCTCAAGGCTCTCTGGTCTCATTGGATTCCGGAATATCTAGCAGCCACGGCGCCAGCAATGGTTCTCATGACTTTGGTCAGTTTTTCTAATTAGAGGATAGTTTTTTATTTCATTTAATATAATGACATTAAGAAATGATTTTATTTGCTGTTACCAATGAATTTTTTTTCTAGATGACACAAGGACGCCAAGAAAACTTGCCATTGTAGACTGTCGCAGTCTGGCTGGTGTGTGGGGAAACAGCTTTAAAGGGGGTGGTACAGAGGATGAAGGTCAGTATGATGGCTGCTGTAGGCTCAGATATAGTTTATTACATGGCCCAGTTGTCATAGTAGGCCCACATATGACCCACATCAGGGCCACCCCCTCCCCCCTTAGACCTACATGTGAATCCATGTACCCATCTGTTCTCCCATGACCCACATGAGCCCCCCTGACCCAGCTGTAAAGATGTGTGTCCACATCCACAGTTGTGTACAAGTGTAACATCATCCACCTGGACTTGGCCAACATCCACACTGTACGTGATAGCTTCAACAAGCTACGAGCCTTGTGTCACAGTTACGTCGAGGGCACGTAAGTTCATATGACCTTCCATTTTAATGTGTCACAGTTACGTCGAGGGCACGTAAGTTCATATGACCTTCCATTTTAATGTGTCACAGTTACGTCGAGGGCACGTAAGTTCATATGACCTTCCATTTTAATGTGTCACAGTTACGTCTAGGGCACGTAAGTTCATATGGCCTTCCATTTTATTGTGTCACAATTACGTGGAGGGCACGTAAGTCCATATGACCTTCCATTTCATTGTGTCACAGTTATGTTGAGGGCACTTAAGTCCATATGGCCTTTCATTATTTTGTTAGCCACTCAAAGCTTAATACTGGGATCATGTTGGAATATCATAAACATTCCTATCTAGTTGTTGTTTTTTTGTTACTTTAGTTTTCTCTAATTTGCAGTATAAATGTGCTATTTAAGATAAAATATCTGAATATTTCCTCAATACTGCTGTACAATTGATGGCATTGTTTTGTTGGTTGAACCCGTGTGATTTGAGTGTACTTTCAGTACAAAGTTTGTGTGATGGAATTGTTTTGTTGGTTGAACCCTGTGATTTGAGTGTACTTTCAGTACAAAGTTTGTGTGTGTCTACAGCTACTACAAGAACTTGTCAGGCTGTATGTGGCTGACGTACATCTCTGCCCTGCTGCGTGGCGCCAACATAGTGGTTGACCTGATGCATGTCAAGACCAGGCCAGTGCTGGTCCACTGCTCCGATGGTTGGGACAGGACCTCACAGATTGTCTCACTGTCTGAGATCATGATGGACCCCTACTACAGGACCATCAAGGTACAGCCCTCTCTACACCTCTACATCTTGTTCAATCTGGCTCTGCCCCATGTCTATGTATCTGCCCCATGTCTATGTATCTGCCCCATGTCTATGTATCTGCCCCATGTCTGTGTATCTGCCCCATGTCTATGTATCTGCCCCATGTCTATACTATGTATCTGCCCCATGTCTATGTATCTGCCCCATGTCCATGTATCTGACCCATGTCTATGTATCTGACCCATGTCTATGTATCTGCCCCATGTCTATGCATCTGACCCATGTCTATCTGCCCCATGTCTATGTATCTGCCCCATGTCTATGTATCTGCCCATGTCTATGTATCTGCCCCATGTCTATGTATCTGACCCATGTCTATCTGCCCCATGTCTATCTGCCCCATGTCTATGCATCTGACCCATGTCTATCTGCCCCATGTCTATGTATCTGCCCCATGTCTATCTGCCCCATGTCTATGTATCTGCCCCATGTCTATGTACCTGCCCCATGTCTATGTATCTGCCCCATGTCTATGTATCTGCCCCATGTCTATGTATCTGCCCCATGTCTATGTATCTGCCCCATGTCTATGTATCTGCCCCATGTCTATGTATCTGCCCATGTCTATGTATCTGCCCCATGTCTATGTATCTGCCCTATGTTTTCAGGGTTTTCAAGTGGTGGTTGAGAGGGAGTGGCTCCACTTTGGCCACAAGTTTGGTGAGAGGGGGGGTCATGACCCCCAGTGTTCAGACACCAACCAGGTCAGCCCTATCTTCCTCCAGTTTTTGGACTGTGTCTATCAGCTGACCTTACAGTACCCTACAGAGTTCCAGTTTAATGAGGCCTACCTGGTGAGTCTTTACTGGTGGTACAGGGGTCATGGGTGGTGCGGGGGGTCACTGGTGGTGCAGGGGTGGTATAGGGGTTACCTGAAGTACAGGGGTGATATGTGGTTCAAGGTTGGTTCATATGTGACAAATGACAGATGCTAGTGACTGATTTGTTAGATGACAGGTAGTGTGGTCTAAGCTCATGTAAGCAGTTGCCACCATCCACTCCCCAGGTGAAGCTGCTCAAGCACTCGCAGGCCTGCCTCTTTGGTGACTTCCTCCACAACTGCCAGAAGGAGAGGGAGAAGTGTGGTCCAACAGCCTCAGTCTGGTCCCTGCTGAGACCTGAGAATGTTCAGTTCTTGAACCTCCTGTACAAGCCCTCCTCCACCAAGGTAAGTCCTGTGACCTGAGAATGTTCAGTTCTTGAACCTCCTGTACAAGCCCTCCTCCACCAACGTAAAACCTGTGTCCTGCAATCTTTATTTTAATTTGACTCGCTTTTCATTGGACACTCAGTTTTGTCCATAAAAAAATCTGGGACATGATGTTTTTCTAAGCTGGGTATGAAATATTATAGATATTCTTTTCCATATAATGATTCATGTCTTTTTTTAATACTTGCATTATTGACTTGCTTGATGGCATGTGTTTACGTCCTGTCAGTCAATTAGCTGTAGTACTTACATCATTGAAATATCTGCTGGCAGGTATTGACGGCCAGGTACAGTGAACATGATATCCAGCTGTGGAAAAATGTCTACATGGCAGACCTGTCACCTGGCAGGCAGGTAGATTTTTACCTGGACTCCTCCATGCCAGGGGAGGAGAGTGTGCAGGGGGACGGAGTACCTAGGTCCAAGTGAGTGGACAATGTCAGTGACTAAACCAACTTTGTAGCTGCATGTTGACCCTTGTTGCTGTAGACACGCACTAAACCAACTTTGTAGCTGCATGTTGACCCTTGTTGCTGTAGACACGCACTAAACCAACTTTGTAGCTGCATGTTGACCCTTGTTGCTGTAGACACGCACTAAACCAACTTTGTAGCTGCATGTTGACCCTTGTTGCTGTAGACACGCACTAAACCAACTTTGTAGCTGCATGTTGACCCTTGTTGCTGTAGACACGCACTAAACCAACTTTGTAGCTTCATGTTGACCCTTGTTGCTGTAGACACGCACTAAACCAACTTTGTAGCTGCATGTTGACCCTTGTTGCTGTAGACACGCACTAAACCAACTTTGTAGCTGCATGTTGACCCTTGTTGCTGTAGACACGCACTAAACCAACTTTGTAGCTGCATGTTGACCCTTGTTGCTGTAGACACGCACTAAACCAACTTTGTAGCTGCATGTTGACCCTTGTTGCTGTAGACACACACTAAACCAACTTTGTAGCTGCATGTTGACCCTTGTTGCTGTAGACACGCACTAAACCAACTTTGTAGCTGCATGTTGACCCTTGTTGCTGTAGACACACACTAAACCAACTTTGTAGCTGCATGTTGACCCTTGTTGCTGTAGACACGCACTAAACCAACTTTGTACCTGCATGTTGACCCTTGTTGCTGTAGACACGCACTAAACCAACTTTGTAGCTGCATGTTGACCCTTGTTGCTGTAGACACGCACTAAACCAACTTTGTAGCTGCATGTTGACCCTTGTTGCTGTAGACACGCACTAAACCAACTTTGTAGCTGCATGTTGACCCTTGTTGCTGTAGACACGCACTAAACCAACTTTGTAGCTGCATGTTGACCCTTGTTGCTGTAGACACGCACTAAACCAACTTTGTAGCTTCATGTTGACCCTTGTTGCTGTAGACACGCACTAAACCAACTTTGTAGCTGCATGTTGACCCTTGTTGCTGTAGACACGCACTAAACCAACTTTGTAGCTGCATGTTGACCCTTGTTGCTGTAGACACGCACTAAACCAACTTTGTAGCTGCATGTTGACCCTTGTTGCTGTAGACACGCACTAAACCAACTTTGTAGCTGCATGTTGACCCTTGTTGCTGTAGACACACACTAAACCAACTTTGTAGCTGCATGTTGACCCTTGTTGCTGTAGACACGCACTAAACCAACTTTGTAGCTGCATGTTGACCCTTGTTGCTGTAGACACGCACTAAACCAACTTTGTAGCTGCATGTTGACCCTTGTTGCTGTAGACACGCACTAAACCAACTTTGTAGCTGCATGTTGACCCTTGTTGCTGTAGACACGCACTAAACCAACTTTGTAGCTGCATGTTGACCCTTGTTGCTGTAGACACGCACTAAACCAACTTTGTAGCTGCATGTTGACCCTTGTTGCTGTAGACACGCACTAAACCAACTTTGTAGCTGCATGTTGACCCTTGTTGCTGTAGACACGCACTAAACCAACTTTGTAGCTGCATGTTGACCCTTGTTGCTGTAGACACGCACTAAACCAACTTTGTAGCTGCATGTTGACCCTTGTTGCTGTAGACACGCACTAAACCAACTTTGTAGCTTCATGTTGACCCTTGTTGCTGTAGACACGCACTAAACCAACTTTGTAGCTGCATGTTGACCCTTGTTGCTGTAGACACGCACTAAACCAACTTTGTAGCTGCATGTTGACCCTTGTTGCTGTAGACACGCACTAAACCAACTTTGTAGCTGCATGTTGACCCTTGTTGCTGTAGACACGCACTAAACCAACTTTGTAGCTGCATGTTGACCCTTGTTGCTGTAGACACGCACTAAACCAACTTTGTAGCTGCATGTTGACCCTTGTTGCTGTAGACACGCACTAAACCAACTTTGTAGCTGCATGTTGACCCTTGTTGCTGTAGACACGCACTAAACCAACTTTGTAGCTGCATGTTGACCCTTGTTGCTGTAGACACACACTAAACCAACTTTGTAGCTGCATGTTGACCCTTGTTGCTGTAGACACGCACTAAACCAACTTTGTAGCTGCATGTTGACCCTTGTTGCTGTAGACACGCACTAAACCAACTTTGTAGCTGCATGTTGACCCTTGTTGCTGTAGACACGCACTAAACCAACTTTGTAGCTGCATGTTGACCCTTGTTGCTGTAGACACGCACTAAACCAACTTTGTAGCTGCATGTTGACCCTTGTTGCTGTAGACACGCACTAAACCAACTTTGTAGCTTCATGTTGACCCTTGTTGCTGTAGACACGCACTAAACCAACTTTGTAGCTGCATGTTGACCCTTGTTGCTGTAGACACGCACTAAACCAACTTTGTAGCTGCATGTTGACCCTTGTTGCTGTAGACACGCACTAAACCAACTTTGTAGCTGCATGTTGACCCTTGTTGCTGTAGACACGCACTAAACCAACTTTGTAGCTGCATGTTGACCCTTGTTGCTGTAGACACACACTAAACCAACTTTGTAGCTGCATGTTGACCCTTGTTGCTGTAGACACGCACTAAACCAACTTTGTAGCTGCATGTTGACCCTTGTTGCTGTAGACACGCACTAAACCAACTTTGTAGCTGCATGTTGACCCTTGTTGCTGTAGACACGCACTAAACCAATTTTGTAGCTGCATGTTGACCCTTGTTGCTGTAGACACGCACTAAACCAACTTTGTAGCTTCATGTTGACCCTTGTTGCTGTAGACACGCACTAAACCAACTTTGTAGCTGCATGTTGACCCTTGTTGCTGTAGACACGCACTAAACCAACTTTGTAGCTGCATGTTGACCCTTGTTGCTGTAGACACGCACTAAACCAACTTTGTAGCTGCATGTTGACCCTTGTTGCTGTAGACACGCACTAAACCAACTTTGTAGCTGCATGTTGACCCTTGTTGCTGTAGACACGCACTAAACCAACTTTGTAGCTGCATGTTGACCCTTGTTGCTGTAGACACACACTAAACCAACTTTGTAGCTGCATGTTGACCCTTGTTGCTGTAGACACGCACTAAACCAACTTTGTAGCTGCATGTTGACCCTTGTTGCTGTAGACACGCACTAAACCAACTTTGTAGCTGCATGTTGACCCTTGTTGCTGTAGACACGCACTAAACCAACTTTGTAGCTGCATGTTGACCCTTGTTGCTGTAGACACGCACTAAACCAACTTTGTAGCTGCATGTTGACCCTTGTTGCTGTAGACACGCACTAAACCAACTTTGTAGCTGCATGTTGACCCTTGTTGCTGTAGACACGCACTAAACCAACTTTGTACCTGCATGTTGACCCTTGTTGCTGTAGACACGCACTAAACCAACTTTGTAGCTGCATGTTGACCCTTGTTGCTGTAGACACGCACTAAACCAACTTTGTAGCTTCATGTTGACCCTTGTTGCTGTAGACACGCACTAAACCAACTTTGTAGCTGCATGTTGACCCTTGTTGCTGTAGACACGCACTAAACCAACTTTGTAGCTGCATGTTGACCCTTGTTGCTGTAGACACACACTAAACCAACTTTGTAGCTGCATGTTGACCCTTGTTGCTGTAGACACGCACTAAACCAACTTTGTAGCTGCATGTTGACCCTTGTTGCTGTAGACACGCACTAAACCAACTTTGTAGCTTCATGTTGACCCTTGTTGCTGTAGACACGCACTAAACCAACTTTGTAGCTGCATGTTGACCCTTGTTGCTGTAGACACGCACTAAACCAACTTTGTAGCTTCATGTTGACCCTTGTTGCTGTAGACACGCACTAAACCAACTTTGTAGCTGCATGTTGACCCTTGTTGCTGTAGACACGCACTAAACCAACTTTGTAGCTGCATGTTGACCCTTGTTGCTGTAGACACGCACTAAACCAACTTTGTAGCTGCATGTTGACCCTTGTTGCTGTAGACACGCACTAAACCAACTTTGTAGCTGCATGTTGACCCTTGTTGCTGTAGACACGCACTAAACCAACTTTGTAGCTGCATGTTGACCCTTGTTGCTGTAGACACGCACTAAACCAACTTTGTAGCTGCATGTTGACCCTTGTTGCTGTAGACACGCACTAAACCAACTTTGTAGCTGCATGTTGACCCTTGTTGCTGTAGACACGCACTAAACCAACTTTGTAGCTGCATGTTGACCCTTGTTGCTGTAGACACGCACTAAACCAACTTTGTAGCTGCATGTTGACCCTTGTTGCTGTAGACACGCACTAAACCAACTTTGTAGCTTCATGTTGACCCTTGTTGCTGTAGACACGCTCCTTCTTTGGATGTTGTTGGTTTCTACACTTTTGCTGTAGACACGCTCATTCTTTGGATGTTGTTGGTTTCAACACTTTTGCTGTAGACACGCTCATTCTTTGGATGTTGTTGGTTTCAACACTTTTGCTGTAGACACGCTCATTCTTTGGATGTTGTTGGTTTCAACACTTTTGCTGTAGACACGCTCATTCTTTGGATGTTGTTGGTTTCAACACTTTTGCTGTAGACACGCTCATTCTTTGGATGTTGTTGGTTTCAACACTTTTGCTGTAGACACGCTCATTCTTTGGATGTTGTTGGTTTCAACACTTTTGCTGTAGACACGCTCATTCTTTGGATGTTGTTGGTTTCAACACTTTTGCTGTAGACACGCTCATTCTTTGGATGTTGTTGGTTTCAACACTTTTGCTGTAGACACGCTCATTCTTTGGATGTTGTTGGTTTCAACACTTTTGCTGTAGACACGCTCATTCTTTGGATGTTGTTGGTTTCAACACTTTTGCTGTAGACACGCTCATTCTTTGGATGTTGTTGGTTTCAACACTTTTGCTGTAGACACGCTCCTTCTTTGGATGTTGTTGGTTTCAACACTATAGTTTCACTCACTCCAGTCACAGCACATACAGTCACAAATGTTAATCGTTAACTTTTTTTACCATAGCACTTCTCTCAGCATTCACTTTATCATCACATACTGCCATAATGATGTTCTGTAATATTTTCTCTATTTACTTTCCTGTTTCTGCTAATCAAAGTTTTATCATAGATCTTGGTTATGATAACATTATACCAGCTATTTTAAGTTGCGCTTACCTAAGATTTTTTTTTTCTAAAGTTGATTAGATCTGTACATTTGTTAGAAAAGTTCTCACAAATTGGCAGGTTTTTAAAGTTGATTAGATCTGTACATTTGTTAGAAAAGTTCTCATAAATTGGCAGGTTTTTAAAGCTGATTAGATCTGTACATTTGTTAGAAAAGTTCTCACAAATTGGCAGGTTTTTAAAGTTGATTAGATCTGTACATTTGTTAGAAAAGTTCTCATAAATTGGCAGGTTTTTAAAGTTGATTAGATCTGTACATTTGTTAGAAAAGTTCTCACAAATTGGCAGGTTTTTAAAGTTGATTAGATCTGTACATTTGTTAGAAAAGTTCTCATAAATTGGCAGGTTTTTAAAGTTGATTAGATCTGTACATTTGTTAGAAAAGTTCTCACAAATTGGCAGGTTTTTAAAGTTGATTAGATCTGTACATTTGTTAGAAAAGTTCTCACAAAGTGGCAGGTTTTTAAAGTTGATTAGATCTGTACATTTGTTAGAAAAGTTCTCACAAATTGGCAGGTTTTTAAAGCTGATTAGATCTGTACATTTGTTACAAGCGTTCTCACAAATTGGCAGGTTTTTAAAGTTGATTAGATCTGTACATTTGTTAGAAACGTTCTCACAAATTGGCAGGTTTTTAAAGTTGATTAGATCTGTACATTTGTTAGTTCTCACAAATTGGCAGGTTTTTAAAGTTGATTAGATCTGTACATTTGTTAGAAAAGTTCTCACAAATTGGCAGGTTTTTAAAGCTGATTAGATCTGTACATTTGTTAGTTCTCACAAATTGGCAGGTTTTTAAAGTTGATTAGATCTGTACATTTGTTAGAAAAGTTCTCACAAATTGGCAGGTTTTTAAAGCTGATTAGATCTGTACATTTGTTAGAAAAGTTCTCACAAATTGGCAGGTTTTTAAAGTTGATTAGATCTGTACATTTGTTAGAAAAGTTCTCACAAATTGGCAGGTTTTTAAAGCTGATTAGATCTGTACATTTGTTAGAAAAGTTCTCACAAATTGGCAGGTTTTTAAAGTTGATTAGATCTGTACATTTGTTAGAAAAGTTCTCACAAATTGGCAGGTAACTGGGGATGGCCACTCAGGGTCAGCACATTGGTGTGTATCAAGAAAACATTTGTTCTAATGTTTCTATAAAGTAAAAAAAATGGACATACTTCCATTGATTATGAACAAAATATCAATAAAACACTTTTAAAATTTTTTTCTCAACTGCAAAAAAAAAAAAAGACTTTTTTAATAATTAAATCTTTACTGAATATTAATATTATTAATTACACAAATGTATAGATCTATGTGTAGGTTATATACATAAAGAAATGGTGAAAAAAAGTAATCAAATTATTAAATTTGTAAAAGATAAGTGATATGCTTTGAATCAGAAATGTGAAGACACCTTTTATTTATTTAGCATTGTGTTATAAACTTGTCCAAAATTTACTTGCCACACTTAGAGCTTCCTGTGGGTCACATACCTTGACGTGGGTCACATGTCTTGACGTGGGTCACATACCTTGATGTGGGTCACATACCTTGATGTGGGTCACATACCTTGATGTGGGTCACATACCTTGATGTGGGTCACATATCTTGATGTGGGTCACATACCTTGATGTGGGTCACATATCTTGATGTGGGTCACATATCTTGATGCTGGTCACATACCTTGATGTGGGTCACATATCTTGATGTGGGTCACATACCTTGATGTGGGTCACATATCTTGATGTGGGTCACATACCTTGATGTGGGTCACATATCTTGATGTGGGTCACATACCTTGATGTGGGTCACATATCTTGATGTGGGTCACATATCTTGATGCTGGTCACATACCTTGATGTGGGTCACATATCTTGACGTGGGTCACCTAAGTGTGTTGACTATTGTCTTACCTGTATGTTAGGTAGAAAAGTTTATTTCTCTAGACAAGTGTCTTGTGTCTGATGAGTGTAGCTTTGAATCACCTACTTATGTACTAGCTCCTGTTGTAAACCACCTGTGTTGAGGTGTAAGTGGCATGGAGAATCACACAGTGCCAAACTCTCAGAAAACTCAACAGATTTTTAAAATTAATAATTTTCTTTTAAAAACTTGAGGTTTTGATTTTAAAAAGTCACACCTTGTTGTTCATAAATTGTGATTCTCATTTTTAAAACCATAGTAACGGTATAAAGTTGTGACTTAAAACTCATCTCTATATTCCATAGTTCTCAAAACTTTTAAAACTTTTCCCCCTCGATTCCCCTAGTGCCCAACTTTTGCCTTCACTTGATGATGTTTATTATCCACAGATCCATGGATGACCTGTCTAAAGGGTTCACTGACAGCGGCCGGCGCAACAGTGATCCAACTGTGATCCAGAGCCTAGACTCGGCCACGCCCAACCCCGCCCTAGTCGGTGTCCATGACACGTCGTCCTCATCTGCGGAGATCCTCCACTTCCCAGAGGACTCCCCAAACTCCAGACAAAAGTTATTGCCACACCAGGAGGTGGGGGGAGAGAAGCTTCGTCCCCCAGACTGTAGACCAGCTGCCTCACCACCAACAGAGGCATCATCCTTAGCTGCCTCGCACTCACCACCAACAGAGACATCATCCTTAAAGGACCTGGCCAACTCTGCACTGTCCCGCTACGCCAGTCTTGGTGAGCGGCCCAGTGGCCCGGTCTGTCCTGATGGACCCAGTGGCCCCCCCGTCTGTCCTGATGGACTATCATGTGAGTATAGTGGTACTGAGGCTTGGAATAAAAACCAGTTTCAGACCCTGGGGCCCTCATCGTCAGCAGTGGCTCAGGGCCTAGGGCCCTCATCATCAGCAGTGGCTCAGGGCCTAGGGCCCTCATCGTCAGCAGTGGCTCAGGGCCTAGGGCCCTCATCGTCAGCTGTGGCTCAGAGCCTAGGGCCCTCATTATCAACTGTGGTTCTGGGGCCCTCATCATCAGCTGTGTTTTGTCAGGAAAGCAGCTCAGAGAGTAGCAGTGAACAGACTTTGTGTTGTGACCTGACCCCTGACCCAACCTCTGACATAAACTGTGGGCTTTCACTCAATTCCTTACCTAACGGTCTAAATTCTGAACACTTAACCAATGGCCATGGTGAGGACAATTTTTTAACTAGTGCTAAGTTAATAGTGGATGAGGATGTGACTCTGCCACTGAAAGCTGTGACAAACTATCAATCTTTAGACTCTGGTTACCAGCTCAGGCAGACCTCCCTGTTGTCTGAACGCCTGACTATGAATGGTCAATGTCTAATGAACGGCCACTGTCAGCAGTTGGCTAACACCTCGTGGTGCGTCAATGGGGACAAACAGCATTCCAAGAAATCCCAGGGTAGGTTGGAGGACTTCAATGAAGACAACCACTTGCACCAAGAAAAAGATTTCAATGAGTTTGGAGTTATCTCTTTGACTAATGGTAAATTTGGTAAGCCACTGATGCGAAGTATTCACTCCAACTCCTCACCATCAGACCTGTATCTAGAGGAGAGTGATAGGACTAATGTCAATTCTCTTTCCACGGATACCCTCACGGATGAGCTGGAGACGGGGGGAGGGGACTCGTCTCCCTCCTCCTCCTGCTACAGCAGGCCGCTGGAGGTGAGCACCAAACAAGAGAGGCTGACACCCCCCCTGGCATCCTCCTCCCTGGTGACCTCAAGAGGCCCCGCGGAGCTGTCAGACAGTGGCACCAAGCTGGTCTCTCGCAGGGCCAGGGCAGCCTCTGGTGCCAGCAGGGACCTGAGTGTGTCACCCTGTGCCTGCAGGGGGAACTGGTCAGACACCAACAGGCTCAAGCACCCCAGTGGGGGGGACGTGTCCAGGCGATGGTTGGGTGCCACGGTAGCCACAAGTACAACAGACATCAGTGACTCGTGGGTGGCCAAGGTGAGCTGTGTTACGTGGTCAGTTGACCTGTGTGCTTTGTTACATGGTCAGTTGACCTGTGTGCTTTGTTACATGGTCAGTTGACCTGTGTGCTTTGTTACATGGTCACTTGACCTGTGGGCTTTGTTACATGGTCAGTTGACCTGTGTGCTTTGTTACATGGTCAGTTGATTTGTGGGCTTTGTTATTCTTTGTTACATGGGCAGTTGACCTCTTTTTACAACTTTTTATTTAGTTCGCAACGTCTGTTTGTGGGTTTGTGGCAAATCTTGTTACTCAGTTTTGACCCACTTCTAATGCAGAGATTTAGTTCAAACTTTCCAGATAAGTTCCACTTTGATGACAATACAAGCTTATCTAATATTTAATTTAATTAGATGTTTAATTAGTCATTAAAAATTAATTAAAGAGTTTCAAAACTAAGTGGAGGTAACAAGATTAATAACTTGCTGTTGTCTTACAAATATTTCACAAATGGCTGCTTTCATGGGGCAGATAATCGTCTTTCAGATATCGTGAGCTACTGTTGGTGTTATAATGCTAATATTTTTAGTTGTATTAACTTTATAAATTAGGAATCACTTAAAAGTATACAATAAAACAAATATAAAAAACCTTTATAGTATAGCAAGAAGCTTCCAAATGCACTGAAAATAAGAAAAAACAAATTTACTTTCTTGAATAAAAGTTACTTCCCCACTTAGTTTATCAAGAATGGAAAAATATTTTTTTTCAGGTGGTTAATAACATCTGTGTCTGTTTTATCATTTCTAGTGGGTGGTTTATTATTAGGGAATGGCTTATATCATGTTTGGGGTTATCAGGGAATGTGTTGTCCAGTAGCGTACGCAGGGGGGAGCAGGGGGAGTGGCCACTCCTCCTCTGGCCATTTTCAGCAAAGTGGCACCTTTTTGGAAACTTTTTAAACTCAAAGTTTTAAACAATGATATTTGTTAAAAAAATATTTTTGGTCGGCACATCTATGTAAATCACAAGATTTCTTTTCATGCAGCAATTAAGCATTATTGTACTAGTCTAGTAGTGTCTACGTTTACAACACGTATTAACAGCTGCATCAGTTTGCCATTCTAAAAATAACCATTACGATGCATTGCAATGTATTAAAAAACCTCACGGGTAGTTCCACTTGGCAAGAAGGGTGTTAAGTTTAAGGCAACTGTATAATGTATTTGCTTACGAATAATAATTGAATTAGAAAATGTTATACATAAAACTTCACACATAATTACTTTATATATACAGTTTGAATCGTGTGATTAATTTTTAAAAAATTACAATACAGAATCAAATACAACTGATGTGGCACATCTATTTAAATTTACTTATGAGCAAACTGCGTAGTGGTGGGGAAATTTTGACAAGGTCAACAACGTCATCACGATGAAGTAGTAGTATTCTTACAGTTTGGGCGATAGTGATTACGATTACAAATTATATGAAACAGTTACAACCCTCCTCTGTAAAAAAAAATATTGTCATAATACCACTGCTACTTATTTAAATCTATTTCTTTAATATATATTTGTGTAATATATATATTTGTGTAATATATATGTATGTTTAGAACAGTCATCTAAAAACTGACGCTATGTTCACTCTGAGTTGGTTATATAGAACGTGTTAAAAATTTGGCGCCTTTGTTTTTTGCTCTTTTCTCTCCCCCTACAACGAAAACCTGGATACGCCTCTGGTGTTGTACCAGAGTGCTCAATGTTTGTGTGTCAACCTTTCAGGTCAGCAGCCCAGCATGTGACAGACAACAGAGCATCAAACACCACATTGACCTGGACGGGCTGACCATGTTCTGTGATGAGAGGCAGCAGCTGATTGGGGAGCTACTGGCTGAGAGGGACAGGAAGATCTCAGAGCTGCAGCTTCAGCTGGACAACGCCAAGAGGACCATCAAGTCCAGTCAGCCACTGACCACTAGGTCACAGCTGGATGACTTTGTAAGTTGGGCTGGGGACTAGATCAAGTCCAGCCACTGACTACTAGGTCACAGCTGGATGACTTTGTAAGTTGGGCTGGGGGCTAGATCAAGTCCAGCCACTGACCACTAGGTCACAGCTGGATGACTTTGTAAGTTGGGCTGGGGACTAGATCAAGTCCAGCCACTGACCACTAGGTCGCAGCTGGACGACTTTGTAAGTTGGGCTGGATGGTTAGTGTTGGTTAGGGCAACTTAGTGGGGCAAGTTAGGCCAGGTACTAATGTCTAGTTGATGAAGTTTTAAACCACACATAGACCATACGTGCCGCAATTTGTTGTCACATTTAGTTTGACAGGTATTTGAATAAACTAATGATTGAACTGAAGTTTGATAATTAATGAATGTTGAAGCAACTAATGAATGTTGAATGAATCAACAGATGAGTGACTCCGAGGCAGGAGAGATGAGTTCCCTGGGGTCCCACCCTGCGTCTGACGCCAGCTGGGAGAACGTGGATGAGAATGAGGCCAAGATTGTCCTGTGGGTGCCCGACTCAGCTGTCACTCACTGCGCAGGCTGTGATGGAATTTTCTGGATTGGTCGACGCAAACATCATTGCCGGTAAGTAGATTACAAAGTACTTATGTTGAGTACAGCCTTTTTATTTGAAATAGATTACCAAGTACTTATGTTGAGTACAGCTTTTTAATTTGAAATAGATTACCAAGTACTTATGTAGAGTACAGCTTTATAATTTGACACTTTACAAAGTGTTTATGTTGAGTACAACTTTATAAAGTACTTATGTTGAGTGCAACTTTATAATTTTAAATACATTACCAAGTACTTATGTTGAGTACAGCTTTTTAATTTGAAATAGATTACCAAGTACTTATGTAGAGTACAGCTTTATAATTTGACACTTTACAAAGTGCTTATGTTGAGTATGTTGAGTACAACTTTATAAAGTACTTATGTTGAGTACAACTTTATAATTTGACACTTTGCGACCACTTTACTACTAGCTCAATGTATTCTCAACTGATACGCTTGAAAATTTAAAAACTTTATTCTATTAATTATGGTCTAAAACTTTTAAAAACAAAACTGGTGTTTTATCTTATACTCCAGAGCCTAAAATGTTTAAACTATCTCCTGACTTTTATCCTGTGCTCTGTGACTTGTATCCCCCAGCAACTGTGGCAAAGTGTTCTGCGCAGACTGCTCCAACTTCCTGGCTCCTGTCCCACACCAACACCTGAACAAACCTGAGCGCGTCTGTCGCAAGTGTCACTCCCATCTCCTCCAGCTGAGTCCAGGGGCGTCGTCAGATGGTCGCATTCCTACACTTGTTGCAGAAGGCTAGACTTGGGTTGATGACTGCTAGGCAACATTAGGCACCTAACATTGTTATTTTTAAATTTCAACATTGAACCTTTGTTACTTAGACAATTAATTAATAAATTTTGCTAGTAAA